TAGTTTGTTTGAAAATATATATTTCGAGGGAGATTTCCAGGAAATTGTCTTTTGGCGAATCGTGCTCTGGCGAAACGTCAGAGATTCCCCAAACTTTTGCGTACACAAAAGATGGTAAAAAATCGTTTCGCCAAAAGACAATTCGCCATGGCGAAATGCCAGTGCCGTTTCGCCAATTAGAGAAACGGCACATGACACTTCGCCAATTGGCGAAACGGCACATGACACTTCGCCAATTGGCCAAACGTCCCGTGACACTTCGCCACGGCGAATTGTGTTTTGGCGAATCGTCTTTTGGCGAAACGACAGAGATTCTAACGAAACAAGAACTTTTCGGGACCACATGGGGTTTTCTTAAGAAAGGAAAATTCGATAGCTGAGCAAATAATAAAGTTGGAAGACTGAAACTTTCTGTGATTATGATTGATATCTGGTACTACTATAGAAAATGTTTTCAGTCTTTCATATTGTGGTTTAGCAAAGTTATAACTTTTTTAATATTTGTTTAATGCATAGTATCGTATAAGCAAAATAGAAAATTCATAACTTTTGACAGAAGCAATGAGAGCCCAAATCATTTTAGGGTTTTTACTAGGACATTACCATCTACGTTTGGACAAAAGATCATTAAAATAGGAGTTGTACACCTGAAGAGGTTCCCTTGCTAGCTAACCTTCTCAACCATCACTATTCATTATTTGATGTTCGATTAATACTTCATTTACTTTTTCATATATTTGTTTCTCATTACATATTTCAAACAGATCTGCTCAAGAATATAGTGAATCCCATTGTTTTTGGATTACGTTTGATAGTAGCACTCAACTACGAAATTTCCGAACCAAAAAAAGGATCCGTCCTGGGATTTCTAGTGAAATGTGTCCTCCGACCGAGTGAAAGGTGGTGGATATTTGCGATTTGAGCAGTTGTGTAGAGGATAGTCTGAAGGTTTCTATTTCATTATTCCATCATGTCCTGACAAAATGGTTTACCAAAGACTTGCTAAATACACCACTTACAGGTTGTCAGCAACTTTATTTTGCAAAAGGGAAATTTTGAGTTTGAGAACAAAATACTGATAATTCGGATCTTTTAAGTAAGTCAGTGAATTCAAAGCTTTCGTTCTCTCAAAAAAGAATAATCATTTAACAAAACAATGTGAGATTTTATAGCGTAAATTCTGCGCCGTTTGGATATTAAAATAATTATCTGAAAGTTGAAAAGGTCAGCAACGCTTCATAAAAGAAGTTTAGTTTATACTGTACCGTTTGCAAAATTAGAATATTTTAATATCATGAATATTTTGCTGAAATTTCGAAAATAGTTTCGAAACAAAATCGGCTAGAGAATTAAACTCTCTATCTTTTGACCTAAATATTAAATTTTTCAGCACAAATCAATATGGCTAAAAATTTAATAGAAAAGTGCTTCTGGACTTTGGCCCTGCCCTGTATCATTTTTATTGATGAGCTGCAGTAACAATAATAGTGGCATTAAAATACAACGGTTGATTGTTGAACAGGTCACCATTTGCATTAGATGATAAATTTTCGTCATCTAAATCGTCGTCACTAACAATATAGACTTGTGGATCGTTGAATGAATCTGTGGTAGATAATTCATGGCCAGAATCGGCGCCATTCGAGTCCGAATTATTATCGTTCATGTCATCCGAAGATCTGTCTATCGTCTGATCAAAGTCCATTTCTGTGTCATGTGTCGAAATTTATTTCTTGTCTATCTTCATTGTCCGAGGCGTAAAGTAACTGATGTGGACGAATACGAAATGCCTATTTGTCTTGAAGTAATTCCACTTATACCTAACGATACAGAAAACTTATAAATTATAATAGGCTTGTGGGTAAATCTAGAACAACATAATTTCCCGTAATGTGATGGAGTAAATACAATTCTAAATAGTAAATCATTACATCATCATCATCACAAACAAGGAGATTTAAATGGAATTTACGATCAATGATGACACCTTTTTAAATTTTTCTGGTAAGAAATGTTTTCATTGAACACGCTAAACTGCAAATATTTGATACTACTTCTATCAGCGTAGAAACAAGAGGCATTTATACGGTGAATGCTTTCTCATTTCAAGTTAGTTTTATCCTTTTTAGATGTAGTTTTGTATGAGTCTATCATCTTTAATCAATAATGGTTCACTCATTCAGCTCACAAGAAGATAGCTATCAACAAGATTGTGCGATTAATGTCTGGCAGTCTAATTTATGCAAATCTTTTTCAACTTCATGCGACTAACGTAAAATTTTCACGTGTAAAGTATACTTGAACAATAAAACTTCGATTCGTTATGTTTTTACCACCAGATGCTTAAGTCAGCCGCGCAGCGACTCTTACTGGAATTCTTATCACATCTCGCTGCATTTGTGACTGGAAAACACCAATGCGCGACTCATGCCGTCCTCTCTCACGTCTAGAGGCTGATCGAGATTTTTAATTCTTGATTTTCAAGAAGTATAGTGAAAAAACGCCGGGAGGCTTACAGCCAGACTTGACGAGAATTCAAGAAAAAGGCCCGATTGTGACAAGATTTTAAAACTTAACCGAAACAATTGTCATGTTGCACCTTAAGCGCGATCGCTATGTTCACCTTACATTTTACTTCAAATTCTACTTAAAAATCGTTAGAACCAAAAATGTTTCTCAAAACCTTCTAGAGACCTGCTGGCGATCCTTGAATGATATCATTAGAATTCTCTATGCCCGATTACTTACAATTCTTAAGTTTCAGTCAGCGGCACCGTTCCTCTTAAGAGTTATTGAACTTTTGATTTCTTTGTATGAGCAAACCAACATTTTTTTATAATATCCCTTACTAATAATATCAAGGAAACAAACACTTGCGTTGAAGTGTTACCAATATTTATCCAGAAAAATCGAAATAATTCGAAAAATTAAAATAAAACAGGCTCAAGAACCAATCGATGCTGTAGATCATAATTGGAAATCAAACAAAATGGCATACTTGCAGCTCAAACATAAGCACACTTGCTCTTACACAAATAAGAACGATTCAAGCAAAATTCTTCAAAATCGGATATTTTAAACTGAATTATATCGAAGCACCATAACTTGACCCGAATGTGTCACTTTTACAACAACGGAAGCCGGTATGTAAAATGGTTCACCATCCAGTTGAGCTAACATCGGTGTTTGTAGTTCAATTGTTAAATGACTACATTGAGCAATGCGTTGACCATGAAATCCAACGTGTATAAGGCCCATATGTGTTGCTGATAGGCCGACAATTTCAAGTTTTTTATCACCAAAATCTTGTCGATCCATGGTAGTCGGCGTCGATGATTCATCCCTCTTCCCGTCATGTAAAGTTTCTAACTCAAACGCATCTTCATTTTCCGAAAACTCTTTATTTGGAAAAGTCGTGGACGATTTCCCCCATGGATTTGTTCCCGATGCATAGCCAGGAATGTTGAGTATAACAAGAGTGTGACAATTACGCAGAGAATAGGTTAGATTCACACCATCACAGATTACTTTCATATAACCTCTAAGATCCCATCGGCTAGCCTTTGCAAAATCACCAACATATTTAAGACTTTCATTGATATACATCACTTTATTTTTCCACGGACTAGAAAATTTCGATGGTTTACGTGCTCGATGATCATGAAAGTCTAGTGCAATCGCTGCATCTAACCCGAACGACATATAATTAATAAAATAGGAATTTGGCAACATCTGAAAATTTTCATACAGGAGTCGGTTTGTTTCACGCAAAAATGATGGACCATTCAATACATCTGGAGTTTGTCGTTCTGCAATTGATTCTAATTCTACGTGCCATCGATCGAGCGGTGCTTTTTCAGCTGCTGGAATTTGTAGCAGTGTTGTGAGTAAACGTTTACTCTCGTATTCACGACCCCAGTTTAAAACTCGTGATAAATCATTCCCAGTTCCAAGTGGACAAATGGCAACAGGCGGATTTGTTGGACCATCATAGACTTCAGCTAATTTGGCTAAGACCCATCCCACGCTACCATCCCCACCGCATACACAAATATGGAGATTTGCTACGCCACGATAGATTTCCAAAGCTTGCAATATTGTTTGACTATTATCTAACAGAAATATTTGTCTGGGATTTAAGAGGTTTAATAGCTTTTCATAAATGTTTGCGCCAGTTTGCCCTCCACTACGTTTATTAATGAAGATGAGCAAAGGCGTGTAGGAGGACTCGTTGGATTCATGAATAAATGCTGCAAACTGAAATTTTCCGTT